GTGGGGGATTTAAATCCCCGCTTCATTTGCAATTGCGATGTGTCTAATTTGCATCCCTTTTATGGAAAAGGGATACAGTCTAGACACAGCCCTGAGGTCTCTGCCAGCTCTAGGATTCTAACAAAACGACTCCACGTGACCGAAGCAAGACGTATGCCCAGCCCCCCACCAGGAAGCATTTTCATTTCTGCTTGGGGAAAGTGTCAGATTAAGGGAACTGGGCCCCCAAGCAGCAGATCTGAAGATGACCCTGCAGTCTCCAGAGGTGAGGCCGCGGGAGGCCCCTTACCTTGGCGGTAGCCCGAGAGATTCCTGGGGCGAGATGGATGGGTCCTAGAGGCGCCAGAGATGCCCCATTTACCCCCCCTCTCCCTTCTGTCCCCACCCCACAAAGAAATCATCCCGTACAATATTACATCTGCACAGTTTTTTCCTCTTTTATATATAAACAGAATTAATTTCCTACTTTCCAACATTCAAACTCTGCAATTCAGTTGATTCCACTTAGTTTTTTTTTTTTCTTTTTTTTGCTTTTCCTTTAATCTGATTCGCCTTTTTCTTTCCTTGATTCATTCATTCTTCCATTCTGTGGGAAGCGGGGACCAGGACAGAAAGGTTACACGTATTTCCAACTCCATCTGAAAGTCTTGCTTCTCTTTTTTTCCTGTTTTTTTTTTTTTTTGCCGGTATATAAAAAAACCAAAGCTAAAAGCTCGCTATTATAAACTTTTTTTTGTTGATTTTTGTGTATTTTTGGTTTTCTTAGAGCCATGCTTATTTAAAAAACAAAAAACCAAAAAAAAAAAAAACCAAAAAAAACCAAACACAAAGCCAAAAAATGTCGTGCTTGCAGGAGAGAAATCAAGCCCAATTGAAAAATCGCAAGAAAAGGGAACTGAAGAGATTTCCTGATTTTGACCCAAATATTGCAAGATCGATTGCTGATTTTTTTTGTTAAAAAATTATATATATATGTATATATATATATATGCAAAAACCCTCCACAGAAAACAACCATTTAGTCGACCTCAGTCAATATTAAACTCTCTGGGCTCGAGCTATGATACAGACGTACCTCTATACAAATGCATTTGGAACTAAAAAATAAAATATAGATTAATTACAAAAAAAAGTGTAAGGGTTTGCACTCCGACGTCCCTCTGTTAAAAACATAATTACAATAGAGGGAGGGATGAAGAGGAGATCAGACGAGTGGCCAGGTGCGGCAGCCACGGCTTTCGGGAGCGAACTGGCTGGCAATTTCGTGTCTCTCTGCTTTTGTTTCCGGCTGCTCAGCAGGAGATAGTCCCAAGAGGCCCGATTTCCATGGAAGAGGCAGCTGGGATTTGAAAGGCAGGGAAAAAAATAAAGTAAGAGCTGGAAATCCCCTAGCCAGGTACTGAATTGCTTCTGCAGTTGCCAGCTGGTGAAACACGAGCGGATTAGATCCCGCTGGGACCGCACCGGCTGGCGAGAACTTGCCAAACTGGGGTTGGGTGTGGGGGGGGGGGGGTCCCATTCCTGCCCCTCCAAGTTGCTACATTTGGGAAGGGGTGGGATTTTTCAGAGGCTTGCTGCCTGGAGAGGAAAAACACCCCCCCTCCGGGTGTCCAAAATGGATGGCAGTCACAGACTCCCCCAACGCCAGAGCGCCCTGCCGGGAGACACGGGTGGCTGGCCCCACGCAGCCGCCTCCTCCTCACCAAGCAAAATACGTGCCGCGGCCTGAAGAAAAGGAACGCTAGGAAAATGCCACCGCGTGGCTACGACTCGAAGCCGGAAGAGGGAGGATTCAAACCTGTTGCTGGGCTGGGGGAGGGGAAAACACGCCCCGGGGCCGCTATCCTGTGTTAAAAACCTACTATAAAAAAAACCCCATTTTTTTCCTTGAATCTTAACATTTCCTACGCGTGGGGGGCGGGCGGGCGGGCAGCCGCCGAGGG